CAATACTAGACCAGGTCCAACATGAAGCCTAAGTATAGGGTTTTTGGGTTTAGGATTTAGGGTCTAACCCCACGACCCAAACCATATGATGGTAACTCTGTTTGATTGTAACTTAAGTTCCTTAACCAGCACCACGCACCCCCGAGATACTCAGCTTCGCTGAGTTTGAGAGAGTCCAAGAAGCAAACCCTCGACCAAAAACCCTAACCCGGGATCCAAATTGCCGTTTAGGGTTCAGGTTTTAGGGTTTAAGGGCGAGTTTCCATCTTATCGTTTAGGTCTTAGAGCTGTGGGGGAGCTGGGGGGAGGGTGGGAAGCGGGAAGAGGTGGGGAGGGGGTGGGGAGGGTGGGGGGGGGGAGGGGGGGAACTGCCCTTGAAATGCTTAAACCCCAAACCCTAAACCTTAAACCTTATTAGAAGCAGGAGCATGTGACATGTGGTGAGGGTGTTGCAGTTGGACCCTGAACTTTTTGTCTTTATGGGCTTTGAGGGTCTTAGGAGCGCACGTGGGTTGTGTCCCCAAGTCCCCTTCAAACAAGGGCCCTGCGTAGGACACCTTATTTGGGCGTGGTTGGTGGGTTTTGAGGCAGGGGGGGGGGGGGGGGGGGGGGGTTATTTGCGGTGGACACCAGCTCCCTCTAAGACCTCAACCCTAATCCTGAATGCCTGCACAGATTGGGGTGGAGGGTGTTTTGGTTGAGGTGTAATTATGGTTTAGGACTTGGGCAGTCTAGGGCCTAGGGTTTAGGGTTTTGGGGTTTAGGGTTTAGGGTTTAGAGGGCTTAGGAGGAGTTTAGGGTTTAGGGTTTAGGGTTTAGGGTTTAGGGTTTAGGGTTTAGGGTTTAGGGTTTAGGGTTTAGGGTTTAGGGTTCCGAGATCCCCTGCCAAAGGTCAAGAGTCCCACAGCTTGCCAGACGCTGAAGGCCCTGTTGCTCTGGCGTGCTGGCTGTGCAAGGTTTCCTAAACCCTAAACCCTAAACCCTAAACCCTAAACCCTAAACCCTAAACCCTTAACCCTAAACCCTAAACCCTAAACCCTAAACCCTAAACCGCGCCCAACAACGTCGGATTTGGGACCTCCCAAACCCGCCAAAACAAGAGCCCTAAACCCGAAACCCTAAATCCGAAACCCTAAACCCCAAACCCCAAACCCTAAACCTTGATTAAACTTTACGGTAGCGTCTTAGGTGTTGAATTTGAGTCACAGATTCGGGGTTTTTGTTCTGCTTCGGGCTTCGAGCTTTCTGCGCCTGAATCTGCAAACGTTTTGGGGTTTAAGGTTTAGGGCAAGCCCTAAAACCCTAAACTCTCAACTTCTTGCACCCGAGCCGGAAGCACCCTGAAAGCCCTAAACACTCCAACCCACAGCACCCCTACACCTACAGGGTGGGGCCCCCTTACTATACTAACTGTAGTTAAGGGACTTATAACCTAACTTAGGGTCCTTATAACCCAATTTAGGGCCCTTATAACTCTACTTATAACTAGGGGGCCCCCCTAAACCCTAAACCCTAAACCCTAAACCCTAAACCCTAAACCCTTATAACTCTGCTTATAACTAGGGGGCCCCACCCTGTAAGCTTGGGACCATGGGGCCCTTAGTATGGTCCCGTAGCCTTGTTTTTAAGGACTTCAAAGGGATCCCGAGGCATGGGGCCCTCATCGGGTTTAGGGTTTAGGGTTTAGGGTTTAGGGTTTAGGGTTTAGGGTTTAGGGTTTAGGGTTTAGGGTTTAGGGTTTAGGGTTTAGGGTTTAGGGTTTGTGTTTTTTAATAGCGGTTATCTACAGGGGACCCATATAACAGGGGATCCAAATTGGAGGCCCGTACTGCGGATCCCCGACTATAGCCTGCAGCTTTCGATGGCTGCACTCTGAAACGTTGAGCCCGAGGATTCGGAGCTTGAAGCACTGACACAGGGTCCAACTGGCCCCTTCTTGTGGTTCAGCCTAAACCCTTGCCCTAAGCCCTAAACCCTAAACCCTAAACCCTAAACCCTAAACCCTAAACCCTAAACCCTAAACCCCCCAAAACGCCGAAACGCCGAAACCTAAAGTCGCCGGGAATCAAAGAGGCGCTGCTGTCAAACTGCTTCGGGCATTCCACGGTGCTTGCAGCTGTATCTTCCGAGGCGGGGAGTTTTCCTCAGGGGTTTAGGGTTTAGGATTTAGGCTTCCTAGGGTTCCTGGGGTTCCTAGGGTTCCTAGGGTTCCCAGGGTTCCTAGGTTTCCTAGGGTTCCTAGGGTTCCTAGGGTTCCCAGGGTTCCTAGGGTTTAGGGGTTTAGGGTTTAGGGGTTTCGGGGTTTAGGGGTTTAGGGGTTTAGGGGTTTAAGGGTTTCGGGTTTGGGGGGTTAAGGGTTCAGGGTTTAGGTTTAGGGTTCAGGGTTCAGGGTTCAGGGTTTAGGGTTTAGGGTTTAGGGAGAGTGCGTAGGGTTTGGGGGGAGGGTTTAGGGTTTAGGGAGCAGGGAGCTTTCCCAAGAATTCCAAGGTTTCGGGTTTAAGCACGAGGCCTGAGCCGTTCACTATTGTAGGCCCGATTCCCCAAATCTGGGCTTCTCCTTAAGGTACCCCTGAAAACGGCCAGCATTTAGGGGTCGGAAGAATTACTAACTGTTTTCGCTTATGGTCCCTTTTTATAAACTTATCACAAAATCCCACCAAAAAAACAAAACTGTTGTACTTATTGAGGCCCTATCGTACCTTAAGGCTCCTATAGAGGGATTTGGTACCTCCTAAACAGGGTTCTGGGGTCTCAATTCCTGGGGTTCTGAGGGCCCAAGAGCCTTAGGGTAGGAACCCTAAACCCTAAACCCTAAACCCTAAACCCTAAACCCTAAACCCTAGGTTGTTAGGTTGAGCCAGATAAACTGTTTTGCTGGAACCGTTAGCCAAATCCTGTTTTCCTTAGGGGGTAGAGGGAGGGGGGATGCCTTTTGTGGGCTGGAGCGTGGGCTGGGGGAGGGCGGGGTGGGGGGGGCTGGGAGGGGGCTTGGCTCCCCAGTATCAAAAACGCCACTCAGAGTGTCCCCAAACAGGCCGGGCGGGCCGAGGCCTCCCCAAAATGCCCGGTTTTGGGCGCGAGCGAGTCCGATAATACGACACCCGCATAACAAAACCTGACTGCGGAACCTTAGTTTAGGGTTGTCCTCCTGCTAAGCCTTCATGCACACACATGCAAAAGCTCAAGTTGCCTAAACCCTAAACCCTAAACCCTAAACCCTAAACCCTAAACCCTAAACCCTAAACCCTAAACCCTAAACCCTAAACCCTAAACCCTAAACCCACCTCGGCAGGCCCAGGCATCAGCCCTGGGCCTGGAAAAGATGATCCACCTGCCGAAGCCCTGAGCGCCTCTGAGCCACGCTGCTTAGGGTTTAGGGTTTAGGGTTTAGGGTTTAGGGTTTAGGGTTTAGGGTTTCGGGTTTAGGGTTTAGGGTTTAGGGTTTAGGGCTTACGATCTATGACTAGGGTCTAGGGTCTAAGGGTTAGGGACATGTAGGATCCAGTGACCAGCCCGCCATGCGTCACAAATGATATACCAGGCTTTTTTTTTTTTTTTTTTGGGGGGGGGGGGGTAGGGGAGGTATGACCCTGAGCCAGAGATGGTGTATTTAGGGTTGAGGGTTTAAAGTTCAGGGTCCCATGATTTTCGCGCGTGCTCTATCTTTTTTCTGTTCAATTGTGTAAGTGACGTTCCTTGTGATCTTCAATCGCCTACGCTGCCATGGCCTCTTGGAAGAATGCACTCTGAAATTTGAGGGTCCACTTCTTGACCAGCCCATGTTGAAAGGATCCATGACATACTAGAATATACACACCAGGGTGCTGCAGAGAAGCAGTCGTATGTTTTTCACCGAAATCCTAGTCCCAGCACCTGTGCTCTATGCTCCACCTGTTGCTCTAGCACTTAGCAGAGCCTGCAATCAAGCGAGCATGAAAAGTTGAGGGTTTAGGGTTTAGCCACACGGTTGCGAAGGATCATCGTACATTTAAAGCCATAGTGCCAGAGAAGTCACACTTGCAAGTTTGCATCATGATGTGTGATGATGCGGAGCAGGCAGGCGTCATCCTGTACATGCTTTCATTGGTGTCAGTCTGCCTCCTCCAGTTCGGAGCTTGGTTTCCTTTCTGGCTTGCTTTGCGACGGCCTATACGGGTTGCAGATATCCGCAGTCTTGGCAGCAGAGTAGGTCACCTTTAACCTGTTGGGGGTCTTATATTCCCTTTCTATTCCTAACCTTTAGTTCCCGTAACCCTTAAACCCTAAACCCTAAACCCTAAACCCTGAACCGTAAGGCAGTCTTGGCAGCAGGCTCATTGTGAAGACAGAGGAGCCGCACTCACTGCGACGGGGACGTTGTTTGAACTGCTCCGTTGAAGGAACGTGCAGTCCGGGGCTCGACAATCGCTACGACAAGGTTTCTTCGCCAATAGCTGAGCCTGAAACTTTTTGGGTTTCCTCATTATTATTCATAGTAGGAACCATCAAGTTTAACCTCTTTGTTTTTCCCTTGGCTATGGGAGAAGCAAGACCAGGATTTTTATGTGCGAGCTGTGGATTGCGTGCGTCTGGAACTTGCCGACAGGCTTGGTGAGCTCTCCGGCGCTTCTGCCTCCATGGGCACTTTGCTTCCACGCTTTCCGGAAGACATCTTCAGAACGGGCGTTGCGCGCACGCATGTATCCCCAGCCGTGCACTGTTCTACAGCAGCTTCCATTGCAGTCGTTGTGTCGTACCTCATTGCTACGTCCGGCACGATTCAGAGAAGCTGCGAGATGGAGGGCGTTGAAGGTGACGTGCATCTAGTATTGTCAAACATTCTCGGCGTGACTCTTGGTGGGTTTGCTGCTGTTCTGTGGCGGCGTAGACAAGCAAAGCGTCCATCGCAGCTACAGCGGGCAATTAAGCAATTTCGCAAGCGGCTACTCTCAAGAGTCTCAAGGCATTGTCCGATGCCTGTTGAACGGGGTCCTTACAGGGCAGTCAGCATTTCAAGCCTCATGGAGTTTCATCATGCTTTCTCTGACTTCATACAGGCTGAGTCCGCATACTACGTCTCTTCCAACATTTGCCAACCTGTCACACGCCCTGAACAGCTGTCTGTTGCAGAGCTCCTGGGCGCGCGGAAGACGACCTTCTTTGTGAGCTACTTCTGGGGCCAACCTTTTGAGCAGTTGGTGAGAGCCCTCGGGTTGCACGCAACAACTTATGACTCTGAAGATGCACCGAAGAGCGAGTTTGGGTACTGGGTTGATTGCCTGAGCAATAACCAATGGCGAGTCGAGGAGGAACTTGGTGATGGCTTGACTTGCGCATCATTCTATCTGGCTCTGCGATCTCCTTCTTGCCAGGGATTTTGTCTAGTGCTGGACGAACAGGCCACACCTCTCATGAGGGGTTGGGCACTCCTGGAAGTGGCGCAAAGCTTTCAGCGCCAAGAGGACTCTGGAACGTTCCAAATCAGCCTGTGTAGCCATCAAGGAGTCGTCGGGGAGGGCGGTTGCAGTGGGGTGTTACTTGGCCAATGGTTGAGTTGTTAAACTATTTGGGTTTCCTTAAATGGTTGAATTTTTAACTTTTGGGTTTCCTTATTAAGTAGGAATAGGAAAGTTTAAGCTTTTTTGTTCCCTTGGTTGTTGGAGAAGTAAGGATGAACGAGCCGTGCGCAAACAGTGGAGCGAGGAAGCTGGCGTCAGCTTGGCTTACCTGCTATCAGACGAGTTCCTGACGTTGGCGCAGGAGCGAAGCCACAAAGAGGATCCATCCTTCGATGAATTGGTGGAGGCCCTCGTGTTCGGTGATCTGAAGGTCGGCCAGGACAGGGTGATTCAAGCTTAGGGTTTAGGGTTTGAGGGTTTGAGGGTTTGAGGGTTTGAGGGTTTTAGGGTTTGAGGGTTTGAGGGTTTGAGGGTTTGAGGGTTTGAGGGTTTGAGGGTTTGAGGGTTTGAGGGTTTTAGGGTTTTAGGGTTTTAGGGTTTTAGGGTTAGGGTTTAGGGTTTCGAAAGTTGTGGTTTCTTTGGTGTTGTGGGTGGGAGGTGGGGGAAGGGGAGGAGGGTGGAGGGGATTTCCTTTTTGCACTTGCTGCACTATTTACTGCGACTGATACGATAGGTTTTTATTCTTGTATTAATTTATGGGTGAGACTGCGACCTTTCTTGCCATTGATGGCTTTGTGATTGCTACTTTTTTTCTGTCGCTTGCTGCTTAATCGGTCTCTTGGTGCCGTCACGACTAAGTAATCACAACTATCAGATTTCTCTGAAGAATTCCAACATAACACTAGAAAAAGCCTGAACCCTAAACCCCATAAACCCTAAATCCCAATTTGATGCTGGCGCCCCAGGACAGCTTGTGCCCTCGTGATAACCAGCCTGGTTGCGCATTCGTGGACGCACTGGACATCATGCACCAAGGAAAGGCAAATTCCTTGGCCAATAGTTGAACTTTAAACTTGTTGGGTTTCCGTATCTCGTAGGAATGGGAAAGTTTAACCTTTGTTCCGCTTGGTTGTTGGAGAAGTAAGGCAACGCACATGCTGTCGTGGTCTTGGGCTTGTCCAATCTCGCAAGTGCGCAGCGCCCTGCTTTGGTGGATGACTGAGGATGAGCAGGATCCGAACAGCGTCTTCTTGCACATGTCTGCATTTGTGGTCAATCATTACAGGTTTCCTTCAATCTACAGCCATTTTGAGGACATACATATATCAAGGTGGACTGCCGACCTCCTCCGAATAGGTAGCATGGTGGTGCTGCTCGACACTTGGGACACGCCCGAATATTTGGGCAGCCTTAGAACTGTCTCTGAGCTTGTGACAGCACTCGGGACCGGAATTCCCGTGCGTTTCATTTGGCCTTCCACGTCACAGGACGAACTCCAGCAGGAGTTGCAAAAAGGATGCGCGTCTGTCTTGCGAGTGGCAGAGTCGCTTGGCAGATTCGCCGTGGAGAAGGTTCTTGAAAGTCATCAGCAGGACGTCTTAGGGTTTAGGGTTTAGGGTTTAGGGTTTAGGGTTTAAGGTTTAGGGTTTAGGGTTTAGGGTTTAGGGTTTAGGGTTTAGGGTAAGTCATCAACAGGACGGCAACTGCGGCAGACTGAGGATGATCTGGCGATGGCCATTCGAAGAGACGGACAAGAATGTGCGGTCGCTCATGCTGAGTACCTTGGGGACCACATGAACCCTCTGTGTGGGGTCACATACACCTCCATGATATTCTAGTACGGGCGTTACGAGAATGGGGGATTCCTAAAATAGCCCTCCAGTAGGATTTCCTTATAACAAGCCCTAAACCCGAAACCCTACACCCTACACCCTATACACCCTAAACCCTAAACCCAAAACCCTAAACCCCAGTAAGGTACCCTAAGTTCGCACCCTAAACACCCTAAACACCCTAAACCCGAAACCCTAACCCTGAACCCTAAACCCTAAACCCCAGTAAGGTACCCTCACCTCTTGGACCCTAAACCCGTCTAGGGCTCACGGCGTCCCCAAGGCATGGGCGGCCAGCTCGTGGGAGAGGCGCTTGAGCGCAAGCGTCAAAGTGAAGAGGCCGGCATTAGCGTGGCGTACCTGCTGTCGGATGAGTTTTTGGCCATGGCAGCTTGGGGGTATTTGGAAGTGAATTTTAATTTTTTGGGGTACTTTTACTTCCTAAAGAAACAGCTAAAATTTTGCAATTCTTGCTAGGTGTTCCAAGTTCAGTATAGGCTTCCTAAGAAACAGCTGAAATATTACAATTCTTGCCAGAACCGCCAAGTTCAGTAAAGGCAAAGGAGAGCACCGGCAAGGTTGACCCCAAATTCTACGACATGGAGTCGGGGTTCTTCTACGGCGACAGGCCCATCGGGAAAGACATGCCCTGCCCTCGTGACGGAAGACCCGGGTGTGCGCTGGTCGATGCCCTGCCTGCAAGACATCGGGGTGTCGCAACGCATTTCTTGTCATGGACCTGGGCCTACTCCGTGGGGCAGATCCGCAGTGCCTTGGGCGCGTGGATTGCGCAAGAGGGCTTGGAGGCTTCGGAGGTCTTTCTCTACATGTGCTTCTTCGCGAACAACCAATACAGGATACTGATCGAGCAGTCCGGCGCGGGCAGCGACAACTTAGAGTTCCTTCGGGGTACTTGGAAATAATGTTTAGTTTTTTGGGCGCTTTAATTCTTAAGAAACAGCAAAAATTAGAATTTTTGCCAGGGTTCCAAGTTCAGCATAGGTTCATCTTCGAAGGCAACTTGCGGCGCATTGGTAGCATGGTGGCGCTGCTCGACACCTGGAACAGCCCGGTTTACTTGACCCGAGCTTCTGGGATTTTTGTTGGAGTTTCCTGTTCTTCTTACGTTGGTTGTTTGAGGTTCCCATTTTAATCCAAACCGTACCTGTGATCTCTTTTTGGGGTAGCCATTATGATGTAGAGGTCTGGACCATCTTCGAGCAGTTCATGGCCATCAAGTTGAGAATCCCTGTGCGTATTATTATGCCCTCGGAGGCTCAGCGAGGACTCATGGAGCAGATTGGGCGTGGGAACGAAGGTCTCAACCGGCTGTGTGATTCCCTTGGGACTGTTGATTCGGAAAAGGCTGAGGCATCCAACCCAAAGGATTCGGCAAAGGTCAAGCACTTGATACGCAACTCAGTCGGGTCGTTCAAGGGCGTTGACGCCCAAGTGCGGGCATTCATGCTTGATTGGGTCGGCAAGGCCGTAATCAACCACTTGGACGGAATCATCAACACCCGGAAAGTATCAGACAGCCACAAGGTCACAAGCCTGTGATTAGCGCCTCCTGCACAGCGTACAGTACCACAAGCCCTTCGGCCATCACGTACTCTGCAAATCACAGCATCCGGCAAGGTCCGGCTGAGCTATTTGCTCCACTCATATGCAGCAATCGTTTCTTGCTTTCTTTTTTGCAATTTTGCTCGCGCACCGCCCTCAGAAGTAGGAGTGGATGAGAGCTTCTCTGTCTTGCGCACCGCCCCCAGAAGTAGGTGTGGATGAGCGCGTCTCTGTACAGCGATATACATGCAGACGACATTGGGGTCTGCAATTTCATGCAGCAGCCGTCAAGAAGCAATCTTTGTGCCGGAAGGCAGCCGACGGAGGCAATGTACAGGCTGCAGCCTCCAGGCAACCTTGCCAGATGCAAACCCACTGTCCACGCACAAGCCGTCAAAAAATGTAAGCCCTTGTGCAAGATTCTGGTGTGCTTTAGAGTTTTGGGTTCAGGGTTAAGGTTTAGGGTTTACGGTTTAGGGTACTCGCTCGTCATCTTGCGCGTATGACCCCCCAGACTGTGTCGACGACACCCAATGGCAGGGCTGGTTTCTGGACGTGGGTAGAGACTGCTAAAGGGCACAAGGCAGAGTACATTGCAGGTACACCAATTAGTGTATAGCTTGTATATCTACTTAGCGCTTCGTGTCTGCCAGCCCCAAACCCTATAACCCCTAAGCCCTAAGCCCTAACCCCAGTTCAACCCTAAACCCTAAAACCCTAAACCCCGAAACCCCACACCCCCGAAACCCTAAACCCCCGAAACCCTAAACCCTAAACCCTAAACCCCCGAAACCCTAAGTCCCCCAAAACCCCCGAAGCCCAAAAGCACGGCCTTGTTGGGGCTCCCATGGCGCGGCTCCGAAGTCCAGGCTCGGCCCAGGCCCAGCCCCTAGTCTAGGGTTTAGGGCTTGGGGTTTAGGGTTTAGGGTTTAGGGTTTAGGGTTTAGGGTTTAGGGTTTAGGGTTTAGGGTTTAGGGTTTAGGGTTTAGGGCCAATAGTTGAACTTTATGCTTCTTGGGCTTCCTGATTTAGTAGAAACAAAGAAGTGTAACTTTTTTCCCTGGGTTATTGGAGAAGTAAGAAGTGCCGTGAAGCCGCAAGGGAAGTCCGTGTAAGGGTTACACATGCACAGGGTTTAGGCTTTGGGGTTTAGGGTTAGGGTTTAGGGTTAAGGCGTTTACATATACATATACATAGATATTGTTACATATATATATATATATCTGTATACGCATATGTATTCGTATATGTATATGGATATGTATATGTATATGTATATATGCATACAGGAAGAACCCTAAACCCTCTCCAGGCTCTCTGCGACCAGGGCCTCTTCCGGGCAACGTCGGCGCTGCAGATCTTATCAGGCTGCGGAGGGGGTCACTTGGAGGTTCGTGGGTGCTAGGGTTTAGGGTTTAGGGTTTAGGGTTTAGGGTTTAGGGTTTAGGGTTTAGGGTTTAGGGTTTAGGGTTTAGGGTTTACCACAATTATAAGGCTACTGACAACCTACATAGGGGACTTCGGGGGCTCATGATTGCAGTTATAAGTGTGGTTATAAGTACCCTGAAACTCCAAGCAGAGCTTGCAGTTTGTGGGACTTCGGGCTTCGGGGTCGAGATCTAAGGAGGTAAGGTGTACCCTAAACCCTCCTAAACCCTAAACCCTAAACCTTAAACCCTAAACCCTAAACCCTAAACCCTAAGTGATTCAATGCCCAGAGGGTTTGCAGGCCCCGAAGATGTGAATTCTTTGGGCAAAGCCTGAAATTCGTCCCAAGCCCTCCAATCCTACAGTAAACTCCAGTAAGGGTTTAGGGTTTAGGGTTTGGGTTGGGTTTAGGGTTTAACTCCAGAAAGTTGGAACATGGTTTAAGGATGATTAGGGCTGGGATTCCCTTTATTATACCTTTTGGGGTATGGGGATGAGGATGTTTCATTTGTTAGAGTTTGCTGTACAGGGTTTTCGGGCTGGAGGCTGTCCCGGTTCAGAAGCCGAGGCTCCGGGACTTGAGTCACTGTGCTGGCTGTGGAGACTATACACCCTAAACCGGTTTAGGGTTTAGGGTTTAGGGTTTAGGGTTTAGGGTTTAGGGTTTAGGGTTTAGGGTTTAGGGTTTAGGGTTTAGGGAATTCGTCCCAAACCCCGAACCCCCAAAAACTAACCCAAAGGCAGTTTAGTACCTAGACAACCGAGTGGGAATCAGGACTGTTAGTATAAGGGGGAACATCCCAAGGTAAGGGCCAGGGGCTACAGCAATGTACAACTAGACGTCGCCACATGGGCAGTTGGGCCAACCGGCTTTTCAGGAACTGCTTGTGACCTGGAGTGTGGAGACCCCTCGGCTCCAGAAACGCTGAGCCTCGAAACGCGAGAGAACCCTTAGCACACACTAAACCTTCAAGCCCCAAACGGCCCTAACCCCCTAAACCCTAAGATGTATGGGCCCTTAATTTGTATGGGGTAGAAAAGGGGCACCCTTTTGAGGGACCACGTAATCACCCTAAACCCTAAACCCCAAACCCGAAACCCTAAACCCTAAACCCCAAACCCCAAACCCCAAACCCCAAACCCTAAACCCTAAACCCTAAACCCCCCCTCCCTTCAGAGTCCGCCCAAGGCCTGGGGAAAGTCTTCGCCGAAGGTCTCACCGGGATTATCGGAGCCGCCGAGGTGGCTGGCGTAGGTTTCAGGGTTTAGGGTTTCGGGTTTAGGGTTTAGGGTTTGGGGTTTAGGGCTTAGGGTTTGGGGTTTAGGGTTTAGGGTTTAGGGGTTTAGGAGCTTAGGGGTTTAGGGGTTTAGGCGTCCAGGGGTTTAGGGGTTCAGGGTGCAGGTTTTCAGGCTCACGGCTTTGGGCTCGCCCTAAACTGGAAGCCCTGCGCCCTCAACCCTAAACCCTAAACCCTACACCCTAAACCCCAAACCCCTAAGCCTTAGACCCCAAAAAGAGGCTTCCTCGGCGTTGCCTACGGATGCCTCCGGGGACGCTGCCTTCAGCGGTGCGGAGCGCGTGAGCCACGTCGAGGTTACCTGTATTACAATAACTTTGTGGTGCTTTACTGTAACTTTAGATCTTTAGCCTTTTGGGGTTTATTGGGTTTCTTAAGAAGGCAGCTAAAACTTAAACTTATAGCTACCCTGCTAAGAGCAGCCAAGTATAATAAGATTCTGAAGGGAGGGTTTAGGGGTTGGTTAGGGGTTAGGGTTAGGGGTTTAGGGGTTGAGGGGTTAGGGTTTAGGGTTTAAGGTTTAGGGTTTAGGGTTTAGGGGTTAGGAGGGGTTTAGGAGGGGTTTAGGAGGGGTTTAGGAGGGGTTTTTGAGGGGTTTTTGAGGGGTTGAGGGGTTGAGGGGGTTTAGGATTTGGGGCGAGGGTTCAGGGCTTAGGCTCTGCGTTTAGGGTTTTAGGTTTGGGCTTCAGGGTTTAGGGTTTAGGGCCGAGTCTTCGGGAGCGTCAATCACATTTTGTCCCAGGGCAGCTTCAAGAGGGATTCAGGACCGTAACCCTAAACCCTAAACCCTAAACCCTAAACCCTAGTGAGGAAACTTTGGAGATGTCCGTGCCATCTCATGTTCCTTTGTGGATCGCATGGGTGGCATTTGCGTCGTCACTAAACCTTGAACTCTAAACCCAGGACCTTATAAACACTTAACCCTAAACCCTAAACACCTAAACACCTAAACCCGACCCGAAAACCCAAACCCAAGTCACACACCCTCATCACCTTACTTCTCCAACAGCTGAACTTTAAACTTGTTGGGTTCCCTTATGTAGTAGGAATAATGGAGTTTAACCTTTTTTTTCCCCTTGGTTATTGGAGAAGTAAGTCACGAGACACTTGGCATGAACCCGAGTCCCTGAACCTCTAAAACCTCCAAGCCCCTGAGTCCCGAAGTCTCTAGGTTAGGGTTTCAGGTTCAGAGTTTAGGGTTTAGGGTTTAGGGTTTAGGGTTTAGGGTTTAGGGTTTAGGGTTTAGGGTTTAGGGTTTAGGGTTTAGGGTTTAGGGCTAGGGCTTGGGGCTTAGGGCTTCGTCTTTGGGCAGGTCTTCATCAGCCACACATGGAGTTCTCCGCGATGGGTGAAGTACCTGAGCCTTGGCCTGGGCTGAGAGCCTAAGAAATATTCGGGTTTAGGGTTTAGGGTTTAGGGTTTAGGGTTCAGGGTTTAGGGTTCAGGCATACCCCTACAAGGAGGGGCCCCCCTAGTTAGAGTTATAAGGACCCTAAATTAGGTTATAAGGATCCTAAATTAGGTTATAAGTCCCTTAACTATAGTTAGTATAGTAAGGGGGGCCCCTCCTTGTAGAGCATACCCCTTAAAAGAAATTCAGGCGTATGGGAAAATCCTCCCTTAGACTCCTTTTATATTATACGTTCATAGCTTAGTTAAGGGATATGGGCTTGGGGTATGGTGAGTTTTTCTTTGAGAGCGAGCGGGACAGAGAGCGAGAGAGAGAGAGAGAGAGACAGAGCGATTAGGGTCTTGGTTCTAGGTGTAGGGTTTTCGGGTTCAGGGGGTTGAGAGCTAAGAGGGTTTAGAGTTTGGGGTTGCGGGGGTTTAGGGTTTTGGGTTTAAGTTTAGGGTTTAGGCTTTGGGATTTGGGATCCATGGTCTTGGTTTAGGTTTCGGGTGTAGGGTATTAGGGTTAAGGAGGTTTAGGGTGTTGGGTTTGGGGGGGTTGGGTGGGTGGTGGCTACCACCCTCAGAAGTTTGGGGTTTGGTCCAACGCCCCTTTGCGCTGAGTTCGGTGCCAGCATTGCGTTGCGTGTTATTGTTGTGGGTGCTTCTTGTGCCACAAGTGTCTCGCAGTCCCTTGGCGAGCCGGGCAATAAATAGCCCCCGCAGCGTGAAAGTGTCCGGGCATCCATCGTCCAGAACCCAGAAGACCTCCTTTTTTGTCTTACAACCCCCTGTAAAGGTATGATGTTTGGGTCAGTGACAGAACACGAGTTTCGCTGGGGTTCTCAAGAGGTGGCTTTCACGCGACAGGAAGACAAGGTA